TCCTAAGTTGTCTTCTCCATGGGAAGGCCCATATGACACAGTGGATCGTCTCTCAGACGTGACTTTCCGAATAAAATGTGGTCGGCGAGGTAAGCCAAAGGTGTTACATGCCAACAGGATTTGGAGTCATCATGGTCCAGGTAATTTCAGTTGGAATGAAGTGAACAATGGAACAATTGACGCTGCTGAAGACGTGTCACCTGAAAAAGCCACTGTCGAAGAAGAAACTCTACCCAGTTTTGAGAAGGAAAACAGTGAAGCCGTTAATGAAGATACCACCACTGATGTGACTGCTACCGATAATGAGACATTTCCTGAACGAGCAGATGAACCCCACGTGAAGCAGTTGTATCCAGAGCTTTAAGTAATTGTCTCTATTTTATGTCAAATGTCCACACAGGCTGGTTCAGTTACTTTAGAACCCTATTGACAAGACAAATCACTTTTCTTATCCCAGTTGTTACATTACAGCTGTGAAACACACTATAGAAATCATCCGTTAAGGCTAATCACTTGCACACCAGCTAACTTCACGTTTTCTTTCACTAAGTAACTATTTTGTGATCGAACTCTTCTTTACTTGCGTTCACTTGGTCCCCTATATATATATATATACATTGCCAAACTGAGGCCTCGAACTTTCTACAATTCTACAAACTACGAGATGATATTATGTAACAAGACTCTCTTAAGGCGTCGAAAAAATACCAAACATTCAAGTAACCTGACGTCAACACGCATGCGTGTGGCAGTCATAGATGCAGAACCAGAAGAGAGAGTGACTTGGTCTTAGAAGATGGAGATGAGGCATACAAGGAAGTCAACATCAGTGAAGAACTGACTGGTAAGAAGAATAAAGAGGAACAGAATGTACTGTGTAGTATACAGATAGATTAGGAAATACAGACCCCCCAGACAACACAAGATCAAGATGAAGACAAGAAATCCTGTCAAGGTGAAACTCTATTGGAGGCCCTACATGAGAAGAGACTGACAAAGGAACAAAGGAACTGCAAATGTTGATGTAGACTATATGAGAAGACTTAGTATATGAATTGAAAACAGTCTTTATATGTAGCGAAAAAATATTGTAAATATTTCTCTTAAAGAGGGCTTATTGCCAGATATAAAATACTGTTTAGTGTAGGTGATATTATTAATTAATTAATTGTTTTGTTTATTAATTAAT